TAATTGTGATCTACCATGGATGGATGATCCCTCTTATGTCCTCCAAAATAATGGACGCAAGCGCTGCGTGAGATTATATTTGGAGAGCCAATCTCGACTCTATTTCCTTTGATCTACATACCTAACACCCAATTTTGTTCTAGTTTACCAAGATTGCTACACAAGATGAGCAGACTTCATCCCATCCCCATGGCAGGCACACGTTATCAAATACTGCAGCATTTAACACATTTTTTTCTTCTTTTGATTAACAAAAAAATCGAATTGAAAACTTGTTTAATTAATCTGGGTTATTTTCAGGAATATTGTTTTTTTTTAATTTACCACGAATATAGTGGTTTTAAAACTATTTACAGGAATATTGTGTTTTTTGATATGTTGAAAGCGCCGAAGCTCCAGTCCGGGGCGCCGGCGCTAGGTGCTTTTAAAAAAAAAAAACTCGGCGCCGGCGCCCCGGACTGGGGCTTTGGCGCTTTTGAGAAAGAAAAAGCGTCGGCGCCCCAGACTGGGGCTTCGTCGCTGCCATTTTTTCCCACTCCAGCACCACCCATCCCATATATATACTGCACCTTTCCTTCGGTTCTTCATCACCAAAAAACTGAAAGAAGTTCTGAGAGAAGCTCTGGTGTTGCTGTCTGGTTGCTGGGAAGATGGCTAATAACAGGTAAGAGTCGTAATTTTTTTTTTCATGTATTCATCATAATGATTTTGTCCAATTAGTAATTAGAGTTTGTTTTTAATGTAGTGGTTTTAGGAGATTTGAACTAGCTGTTCGGTGGCGATCAGAGAAAGTAGAAGACAATTTGGGTGTCCATTTTGTTGGTGGTTTAAGTTTCCAGATGACTATTCCATCCAGGGTGAACTATCAAAAACTTTGTGATCATCTAATTCGGAGAATACGGATTAGAGACGAAACAGTACAAGATAGTGTTGTGATTACAGGTTTCACCTACTGTCTTCCAGAATGGCAGAATGGTGTTTTATTTCATCATGCAATGCCTATTGTCGATGATGATAGCTTAAATGTGCTTTGGAATTTTATGGCACAAAATTCTTATTGTTTGGGTGCTGAGATACATGCTGAGCTCAGTGAGGATCGGGATGGAGAGGAAGACGATGATGACGGTGATGATACATGGAGCGTGCCATCCGATCCTGCCTTTGATGACGATGATGACGAAGAGGAGGAAGATGAGGAGGAGGAGGAAGATGAGGAGGAGGAGGAGGACGACGACGACGGGGAGGGAGGAGAACTACCTAATTATCCTCCATATTTTTACTTGCAGGGTAATGAAGAGGACGAGGAATTATCATATGCTGATTCATATGGCGTAATTCCAGGGTCTACTGTTGGTGGTTTTGATGGAGAATTCTACAAGGGGCAGATATTTCACTCGAAACAAGCTGCACAGGTGGCGATTAAGCACTATGCACTACAACGCAACTTTCAGTATAACGTGGTGGAGTCGTCACCTTCAATCTGGAAGATCAGATGTTTGATGGACAAGGAGGACAAATGTCCTTGGATGGTGCGGTTTGGATGTCGAGATGTGGGAGGCGATTGGGCGTGAGAAAGGTCGAGTTGGTGCATACTTGTAGCAGTACGACTCAACCGACGGATCATCGCCATCTTGATGTCGACGTGATATCTGAGGCCGTCAAACATTTGGTACGTGCCCAACCAAATCTGAGTGTTCTAACTGTGCAAGCCGAGTTGAAAGATAAGTTTAATATGCAAGTTACTTACAAGAAGGCTTGGTATGGGAAACAAAGAGCATTGGAGAAGTTGCATGGAAATTGGGAAGAATCCTATGATTTTTTGCAGACATTCTTGCGGGTGGTCAAGAGAAAAATGCCAACATCGGTGATTGATTGGGTAAGAGTTCCTTCGACTCAACCAGGTCATTCGATATTTCAGCGAGTATTTTGGGCTTATGGACCTTGTATAGATGGATTCAAGTATTGTCCAGGCGTCATGGTTGTTGATGGGACATTTCTTACTGGGAAGTATAAAGGAGTGCTACTCATGGCGAGCTCATTTGATGGCCGGAAGAAGATTTTTCCAATTGCATTTGCCATAGTGGAGAGTGAGAATACTGATAGTTGGCCATGGTTCATACGTCACGTTCAGGGTTTGGCTGATCGAAATGATGTATGCATCATCTCAGATAGACATGCAGGACTCTATGAAGCCATGAATAACATCGGAAGAGGTTGGGAGTGGAGGTGGTGCATGCGACACTATGCAAGCAATTTGCAAAGGAAGACTAAAAGCAGAATTATGTATAAGCAACTATTTCGAGTCGGTAAGCCTTCTTCATTTAATTTTGTTATTTATTTTTAGGTAAGTTTGTCATGAATTTATCTAACCCGTGTGGTTGATTATTTTGTTAGCCGGAGAAAAACGCTTGGAGAAGTTCGATCGTCAAGTTGAGCAATTTAAGAAGGTGGCCACTGATAGAAATATTTCATGTGATAACTGGGTGGACCAACATCAGATTCGTTGGAGTTTAGCACATGATAACTTCAATGGTGGGCGTCGTTGGTCTATCCTGACATCCAACATGGCAGAAAGCATCAATGGTGTTTTCAAAGGTATTCGTGCACTTCCTATAGCTTCTCTTGTGCAACATACCTATTGGCGATTGGTGGAGAAATTCGATAAGTACAGGTTGGAGACAGGAGCAGAAATTAGGAGTGGTCCTTCACAGTACTCCACCAAGTGCGAAGAACTGATGAAGCCGTGGTCACAAAAGGCAGTTGGGCATTCTGTGACAGCTCTTGATCGAAGTCAAGGCATCTATGTAGTTCAGACTCCCCCCAACAACTTCAACATGACGGGGTCAAACACACTCATAGTGCACTTTGACGACCACAACCGGACGGGATTTTGCACTTGTGGGAAATTTCAAGGAAATAAAATTCCTTGCTCTCATGCCATTGCAGCTTGAAACCGAATGGGAGCCCATCCATATAGGTTTGTAAACGACGTCTACAAGCTTCGAACAGTGCTTGTTTGTTATGGGACAAGTTTCTCTCCTCTTGGTGAACCTAAGGGTTGGAAGAAGCATAATGACACTACTCTCCATCCTAATCTGGACATGATTAGAAAGCCGGGGAGACCAAGATCAACACGAATTCACAACGAGATGGATTGGCCAAGGGAGGGTTCATCACAGCAAGTGTGTAGCAACTGTAACCAAGCGGGACATAATGCATCAACCTGTGGTGGCCAAGCAAGTGGAGTGGGAGCAACCGAAGAGGGAGTGGTGGCCAACGAAGTGCGAGAGGTGGTAGAAGAGGAGGAAGTAGAGGGAATAGACGTGGCTGAGAAGTTTGTTTGAATGTAGCAGTTGTTGTTTTTCTTTCGATTTATCTCGTTGAAGTTGTTGTTTGGACTTATTGTTGTTTGGACTTGTTGTTGTTTGAAGTTGTTGTTTTTTGGAGTTGTTGTTGTTTGAAGCAGTTGTTGTTTGGACTTTTATGAACTGAACTAGCTTTTGGAATTTGTTGGTTTTATATTTAAAGTCTCAATTTAGACAACAACAATAACATGAATTAGTCCGCATGAAATTAAAAATAGTCCAAAAAATAAGTACATAATAATAAATAGTCTCAAGAACGAAAGTACATAATAATAATTCATAGTCACAAAGAACATAATAATAATAGATATCTCAACATAGTACATAAATACACTAACGACCACCACGACCACCGCGCCGACCACCACGACGACCACCGTGCTCTGCCACTAGATGGCCGCCAGTACCACACCTCGCTGGCCTCCTGTCTCGTGGAGGCAACTGCTCAGCTCTCTCCGCCCCATCATCCTGATCCTGTGTGCCGAACATATCATCCACCTGGGACTGAACCTGCTCATCCGGTGGACCCTCTCGTCGCTGTTGCTCATATGCCCAATGAGATGTCTGGAAGTCCTGATCCTGCATCTGCAGATCGACACGCTCCCACTCGTCGACGTCCAAATGTGGCAGGACTGTACTACCTGATCCCATGTGCCCTCCTCCCATCGTAGCATGCTGAGGTGTGTGAAAGCTATCCTCCTGGGGCTGAAACTGAGGGCTAGAAGAACTGGTGCCTGCCTGAAAACCGGTAGAAGCGCCTGGCCGTAACGGTGGCTGAGAAGGCTGGTGGAATGTGAAGGTCGAAGTAGGTCTGACTGGCTGACGATCTGAGTACCTCACTCCACGAGGTACGTCACCCTGCTCACGTCGCTGTCTCCTCCTCCTGGGCTCCTCTATGAACTGTGGCGGTGGCACGCCCCAGCCCGATGGCTGAGTCCTACGCTCTGGCCAGCTGGCTAAGCTACGCTCATCAGGGTACCGCTGTACCGGCTCTGTATCCGAATGTCGGCGATGACTAAAACCTATAGCTGTAACACCTGCCGCCAACTGGTCAGCATACTCCGCCATCTGGTCATATGATAGCCCTCCTGCTCTCGCCGGCCTCGGCCTCTTCCTCTGCCGCCGGGGGCGTGCTCGTCGTCCGACATAGCGCCGCCGCTGTGGTTGGTGCGCCTTCGCCTTGTGCCGCGCGCCGCCGCCTGGGACTGGGGCTCCGCCGCCTTTCTCTTAGCGTCGCCGCTCTGGTTCTCGGCGTCGCCGCTCGTTCTCGGCGTCGCCGCTCGTTCTCGGCGCTGGGATGGAGAGGAGGAGTGGAGAGGGGATGGGGGTCTGTGGTCTGGTGTGGTGCGAGAGGGAGGGGGAGGAAGGGGGTAAAAAAAATAAAATTGATAGCGACGGCGCCCAGGTCTCGGGCTTTGGCGCCTTTGAAAAGTTTTGAAATTTCAAAAAGCGCCAAAGCTCGAGACTTGGGCGCCGTCGCTATCAACAGCCTTTAAAACTCCAATATTTGAGTCTCGGGCGCCGTCGCCCACTTCCTTTCTAAAAACACAATATTCATGTAAATAGTTTTAAAACCACTATATTCGTGATAAATTAAAAAAAAAATACAATATTCATGGAATTAACCCAATTAATCTCTCGCTAAAAGAGAAACAAGAAGAACAGACACTATAGTAATTACAAACCAACTTCACACGTAGAACCAGTCAACAACCCACAACTCTCCTTTTCTCTTTTCGTAATACAAAAAACGGGAAAAGAAAATACGACCCGCTCTGCAAAATTTCTTCCCCTTGACCTTTCCAGCTTTCCCCCTCCAAATTCATACAACTCGGCAGCAAACAAGCAAGACATCGCATTCCACTGCTATTTCCTCTCCACTTCCGGATTTCCAAAAAGAAGAAAAACGGAAACAATCAACCCTTTATAAAATCCCCTTTGATTCCCCTTTCCGCCTCTCATCTCAATCTCACAATACCCTCTCAATTCTCAATTCCTTTGGGGAGAGAGAGAGCCACTCAAAAGAACACAAACAGAGCGAAAAGTTGGGCAGAACCCATTTCTTAGAAATCCCAATTTCAGTAGTCTCTTACTACCATAAATATCGAACCTTTCCCCCCAATTTCCGGCCATGGGGAAGTCACTTGGAGCTCTGATCATTACTGGGTTCCTCCTCTTCCTTTCCTTCTTCACCTCGCCGTCTCAAGCCCAAACCTGCAACGGCTTGGCCTTACCAAGCAACCAAGTCTACTCAACCTGCGTAGATCTGCCAGTTCTCAGCTCATATCTCCACTGGACATTTCACCAAGACAACTCCACCGCTGATATAGCCTTCAGAAAGACTGGAACCTCACCCACCAACTGGGTTTGTTGGGCTCTGAACCCTAGTGGAGGCCGAATGGTTGGCTCCCAAGCTTTGGTCGCTTTCCAGCAGGCTAATGGTTCCATGACTGCTTACACCACTTCGATCGACTCCTTGGGTCCTTCCATGAGACCAGGGAGCTTGAGCTTTAGAGTTTCTAACCTCAGAGCTCAGCATAGTAATGGGGAGACTTTGATCTTTGCTACTTTGCATCTGGATGCCAATTTGTTGTCAACCAATCAGGTTTGGCAAGAGGGGCCCTTGGCCAGTGGGACTCCTTCAATGCATTCTACTACTGGGGATAATGTTAGGTCGATTGGGACTATCAATTTCCAGACTGGTGCTTCCACTGCCGGTGGTGGTGCCAGTAACTCAAGACTCCGCAAGAGGAATGTAAGTATATTGAGAAAATTTCACCCACTTTCCCCCTAATCTTGTGTCTGATTCAAGTTTAGTTTGATGATTAGGGTTTGATTTGTCTGTTGTGTTAAGCATTTTGAAATTGGGTACTTGAGCCTTGCGACGGATAGTTTTTAAAGTTTAGGGGTCACTTGGAACAATCCGTGTTTGTGATTATATTGGCAACAATTTTAGTATGGTTTTGTTGGTTGATCTGAAGCCATTTGCTTTGCTGGTTCGATTTTCGATATGTTTTCATAAACAATAAAACAGTCGCATATTTGATCTTTAAGGTCCGAGGACTTTGACAGTTTTCGAGGTCTTCACTGTTTCAGTCTCCAATATGGTACTACGAACACTGAAAAGATTATGTAAATATCTTTGAGGTCGAGAAATTCAACTTGTCTTAGAAAAAAAGTTTCCTATTTGGTCCTTGCCTAACCTAGGGAAAGTTTCAAGCTCTAACAAACATACGGATTCTAGTTTGCTTAGAATTGAAGGTTGACCTCTTCTGTACCATCTTTCTTGTGCAGATTCATGGAGTTCTGAATGCAGTGAGTTGGGGAATTCTGATGCCTTGCGGGGCCATGATAGCAAGGTACGTGAAGGTGTTCCAGGTAGCAAACCCAGCATGGTTCTACCTCCATGTTGCCTGCCAATTGTCTGCCTACATCATTGGTGTTGCTGGCTGGGGAACGGGACTCAAACTCGGCAGTGACAGTGTTGGAATTCAGTACAACAAGCACAGGAACATTGGAATCACCCTCTTCTGCTTTGGCACCCTTCAGGTAAACATAACTAAAAGTCTAATCCTTTTCAAAATTTTCTTTGTTGGATTTGGTGCCATTACTGCTGCTGTTGTTTTCAAAACCGGTTTGAATTGGTATCTAGCATACGAATGTGTCCCTCTACCATCGACCATTTATTTCGTCTTTGCCTTCCGTCTAATCTTCTGATGGGGTTGGTGCATTGGTGTTGTTATGGATGGTAGCAGCAACCGGTTCTTGGTTTGAATTTTTTAGCAAATGCCTGAAAAAGGTCAACATTTGTTTTCCTGAATGAACCTTCCATTGCGATGTCTTGACTTTTCCTAACCTAAGCAAAATGCACGTATCGTTGAAGAGAAGCAAACCCCACTTGCCTCCTCCGCATGTGAAAATCATTACATGTACACTTTAAATGAAAGGATAAAATGGGGATTCTACAGTTGTGTGTATATATATATATATATATATATATATCCTCGTCACTTCACATGATTGCTAGGAGACTTAAAGCTCACGCTAGCTACTAGTATACATTGTACCATCTCATTGTAATGAACAAGATACTAATGTAATGAAATATCTTCTTGTTTTATGAAACCAGATGTTTGCCTTGCTGTTAAGGCCAAAGCCAGACCACAAGTACAGAGTGTACTGGAACTTCTACCATTATGCGATCGGGTATGCGACCATTGCCCTCAGCATCACCAACATCTACGAGGGATTCGACATCCTCAACCCAGAGAAGAAGTGGAAGAGCGCGTACACCGGCATTATCATCTCGTTGGGAGTCATTGCTCTGGTGTGGGAAGCTCTCACTTGGCTCATTGTCATCAAGAGGAAGCGGGCTGTTGGCTCTGCTGATAAGTATCCCAATGGAGGCACTGGATATGGTCACAGGACACAGCAGAATGCTTGAAGATTCTTCCTTTTCACTTCTTGAGAACGATTCATTTACCGCCCCTCCCCATTAGTGTGTATTTTTTCTCTCTCTCTCTCTCTCTACATTTTTAATTTAAGTTCTCTCTCTTTTGGGTATCTCCTTGTGAGTTTAGTGCTTATACACTGCAGTGGGAAGGGCTTGTTTTGGAGGGACTTGATGGTTTGTAGAGAGTACTCTATAGTTTAGATCTTGTCACTTAGTATATAGAGACCATTTGTTTTGTATGTGATTCTTTCTACTACTTACCATGCCTCTCTTCTCTGCTATATATATATATATATATATATATATATATATATATATATATATATGCGCATATATATATATATATATGCGCAGTTCTACGGTGCCCAGGGCAAAATCCGGGGTACGGGTAACCGGGGGCAAGGAAAATTACCAAAAGCATCACGAAGCGTTTATGCTTTATTAATTGGACTTCAAACCTAACTGTACCCTGTTTAATGATATCGATTAAGAGGTTAACCCTATGGATACGACCCGCCGCCCTAACCAATTTCCAGTCTCCCTTCTACGATTCCTCATTCGCCTTGGAGGGTCCCCTCTAACTCTAAGTTCGAAGTTCGATCATAAGCTGCCTATCAAATATGAAATCTCCAACAAAATCATCGTTTCGAAACCCAAATCCTTTTATTATTTGATCCACATTCGATTTAGCTCCCTATCCAATCTCAAATCCCCAACATCATCATATTTCATACGCCAAATCTATGTATCCACGTTCGAAGAGAAGATCCCCATCCAATATGAAATCCTCACATAATCATCGTTTTGAACCCCAAATCCTTTTATCCACAGATCGACGTTTTGTTCATCGCCATTTTATTTCCGTGCGGAATTTACTCGCCTATCTCTTTCTAACACGATTACGGCAACCATGTCTATTATTGTGTTCATCAAACTTTTCGTTTGCAAAAGAACCCTTGAAAGAGGTTTGCTAACCCTAGGGTTCATGTCGCTAGTGCTTTGTCATCTTGTCTTAGCGTTATTGTCATTTTCTCGAAACTCCTATCACTCGGTGAAATTAAGGTTTCCTGATATGCAGTGTTCGTCTCGCCCAGAGGATTGAGGAAGGAGATGAAGAAGACCTAATTTGATTCGAATCAGATGGAGAGGTCTCCTTAATTTGTGTTTATGTATTAACGGTGCGTTTAGGACTAATTTTAGTTGGACTGGGTCTGATCATTGATTTTTGCAGGCTTTTAAATAACATTCAAACGTGGGCTTGTACATGACCCATGACACCTAGTTTGTTGATAATAGATACTGAGTTCCGGATTGTCATTAGATTGGGCCTTTGATAATTGTCTATCTCAGTGGCGATTCTTTGTTTTACTTATTTTCATCTGCTTCTGCTTCTAAAATCCTGATCAAACATTGAGTTCACGCAATTTAAACATAATTCTGTGTTCCATCTTTTTTGGGATTTGGTAAATGCTAGCGTGTCTCTTTACACATTTAGCGGTACGAGGTAAACTACAATCCGCCCAATTTAACTCTTCATTAATTGAGATCCCATTCCACTCTCTCACCGATTTCCCCTCTTTATGCAATGCACTCGTACATAACAAACCTCTTGTAGACTAATTAGAGGCTTGTGGTTGGATACTGAGTGAGGATATTTTTTTAATTTATGTTTTGAAACGAAAGTTAGAATTTCACTTTTGAAGTACATAAGTACTTTAGTTGGGCAAGTATTTTCAAAATGTAAAATTTTATCAGCGTATAGGTATACGATTGTTGTATAAGGTGTTGATGTTAAAGGAAATGGGTACTGACTGCTTAGGGTATTAGGTTGTTGATGGTATAGAGTATATGGTATATGTGTAGGTTATAAGGTGTTGATGGTTTAGAGCATATGGTATCGATTGGTTAAAGGGTGAGGGTAGGTGTTGTCTTATTTTTTCTCGATTTTATATTTTCTTTATATCTGCTTATAAATGCTGATCATGCCTTATTACTAAAAAAACTTAGACATAATTATTGTAGCGTGACACATTTATCAGTACTTAGACATAATTCTTTATATCTGCTTATAAATGCTGATCATTTATTGTTTGATTTGAACCTGCGTGTTTTTGCTCCGAATGATTTTGTAGTGGCGTGGTAAAGACAATCCGTCCAATTTAACTCTTCATTAATTCCCCCTTTTCTTTTCTTTTTTGGTAGAATAATTACCCCTTTTCCACTCTCTCAGTCCCCGCCGAAGTTGAAACAATCCGCTGTGATATATTTATCGTTCATTTTAACCCTTCACTTAATAAGAAAGCGAAATTATGCAAGATGGTCATCAATGTGATGTAGCTTAATTGGTTAATTGTCTCTTATTTGCTTAGTCAATAAAGTAGAGGTTTGTGGTTCGATACTTAGTGAGTATCAATTTTTAATTTATGTTTTGAAAAGCAAGTTATAATTTTAATTTATCAGCGTATAGGTATACGATATTATATAAGGTGTTGATGGTTTAGAGTACATGGTATTGGGTTAGTGTATTGATCATCTCCATCCCTAAAATACGATATTGTATAAGGTGTTGATGGTTTAGAGTATATGGTATTGGGTTAGTGTATTGATCATCTTCATACCTAAAATTGAACAACAATTTCTAAACGAGGTCCCTACCGCCACATCATCAATTTTAGCAATTCATCACTTAACAATTTCTATTCATCTACATCCCTAAATTATGCTAGTAATTGCCAAGGTGGGTTAAATTTTATATTTCAAAGGAAACACTTATTATAAATTGAAAGTTGGGGATGGAGATAGAAGAAGGTGATGTTGGTATACATTATAAGGTCTTGAAGGTTATGGTATAAGGGAGGAGCAAGGTGTTGATGGTTTAAAGTATATATGTTATTGATTGGTTACGGTATAAGCCTATAAGGTGTTGTTATTGTTGTAGAGTATATGGTATTGATTGGTTCGTGTATTAGGGTTTGGTTTAGGGTTTAGGGTTTAGGGTTATGATTCAAGTTAGAATAACATAAACCAGATCAATAGAGTAATGTTGGTAAACGAAAAAGTTAGTTAATCTACAAATTCAGACTATTTATAAAAGTACATCCCCATTTCCCACCGTCAATTCCTAAACTTTTTCCTTAATCCGATGGTGAAATACCTTCGATCCTCGTCGCGTGCGTGTCACCCAATCAGATATTGCCGAATTCGGAAAGTCGCTTTTGCCCATAACCAATGCTGGCGTTACCAAGGCCGAGGCAGTGGTAGGGACTGTAATTTTCAGTAAATGTGAAGGGAGGGAAAGTAAAAGTAATTACGAGTCCATCTATAAATTCGTTAATCAGTGAAGGAGAGACCGTGCTCCGATCCCTGAAAAGAACCCTTTCTTCCATCTTCTCAATATGAAACTCCGAAAACCATCTCCTGCTGCTGTTCGTTCCTCCTCCTCTCAATCCCTGAAAAGAACCCTTTCTTCCATCTTCTCAATATGAAACTCCGAAAATCAACCCCATCCGCCTCTTCGTCCTCTTATCCCATGCTTTATTTTCCGGTGCAGTGGTAATGATGAGACTGCGTATTATTTTAGATCTCATTTCCTTTAATTATGTCATTGTTAGATCATGACTGTTAAACTAAATCCTTCGTTGTATTGTTTCTCCTTTTCTCTCCATGCAGGGTCTTTGTTAGAGGCAGGGAGGGGAGCAATGACAATAAGTCGCCGTCTGAATATCGCCAAAAGAATCATCACATGTTGTTGCGATTCCATAATAGGTGTTGTGGAACCCTACTTCATGTGGTGGTTCTTTTGCGCCATATTGACGCGTACTTGTTGATCATGCTCCCAAAATGTATACAAGATAGGAAAGTTGCCATATGTATAATAGGATAAAATAGGGAGGGAAAGTACAGCTTTTTGTTTTTGTTGGACTCTATGTAACATTTGTTTATATTTGTATACTGTTTTGTTATTTTTTCTTCTGCTTCTCTCTTCGCTTCCATGGCGGCTTCCAAAAGTGTTTGAGATCTTCTAAATCTGCAGGGATCCTACACTCCCAATAAAAATACTGTACTTTGTACTATTAGCGTTTGAGATCTTCTAAAATCTGCAGGGGATCCTACACTCCCAATAAAAATACTGTACTTTATTTGTTGACTACTGACTCCATTTTTAGAAGTCTTTACGATTGGGCCAACCGGATTTTTTGTCGGATTTCGAACTCTGCTCCTCTGTCGCCACATGCTCTACCCATTTAATGAGTGCTCAAAATTAGTGCAAAAAATACGATGTAATAATTGAATAAAAAAAACTAGTTCTCAAGATTATTCAACTGAAATGCTGCACATGATTTATTTAGGGCCGTTTGGATGTGGAAATTTTAAAACGTTGAAATTTGTCTGAATTTCCATGTTTTACAAAACCAAGGAATTGACTTGTGGAAATTGAAAAAAAAACTCACGTTTGGATAAGGTTTAGTTTTGTGAGAATTGATGGTATGGAATTTGGAAAAAGAAGTAAGAAAACGTGGTAATGTCAAATTACTAGGGGGAGGTGTAGTATTCTCAATTACCATGAATGTGGTAATTGAAGCCAATTTCCATGGTCCAATTTCCATACTATTTTGGCTCTCCCAAACGTGGGTTTTTAACCCAATTACTGCATTATGTGGTAATTGGGTCCAATTACTGCATTACATTTCCACATCCAAACGACTTAGAGTGCTTAAAAATTGCCATCAAGTGACTATTAATGAGTGCATAAATTAAACGACACCGCAAGAGCCAACAGTCTTCTTATATACCAAACGACTCGGCATAGGAGGACTTCCAGTTTCAGTTCAAGTTTCCAACACCGAGCAAATATATGGTCCCAATTGCCACTTCAGCAACTTTAACTATACATCAATTGTGACCGTGGGTCCTACTTAATTTTCAATGCAATTCAATATTAATTGGTGAGTGTATTATATTAATTTGAGTGCATCTCTCAAGTTGTTTTTTGTCGTTGTGTTATTCGAATTATGTAAAGTATTATGATTGGAATTGTATATATGTGTGTGCTGCATGAAAATTTGCAACTGCATGAAAACATTTATCAGATGCAAATTTGCAACTTTTGTAATTGATCCAACATCAATGCAACTCACCGTCCCACTTTCACTCCCTTGCCACATCAGCTTCCAATTCTCAAGAATTGCACCATTGGAGATGGTCTAAATAAGCAAGGTGTTGATGGTTTAGTGTATATGTTATTGATTGGTTCGTGTATTAGGGTTTGGCATTGCAAGAAGAATTCCTAATTTAGCAATCTTGCTAGTTTAGAAAAAATTTCCTAGGTGGCATTGCAATCTTGCTA